ATCCAGTCTGTGTATAATGCCAAAGTTCAGGGTTTATCTCAAGTCCTTATTCAAGTAGTCTTTGAGACTGGATCATCTCAGTTAGCCCTCTCAAAATTGCTCTGAGCACTTTATAGTTCAAAGCTGATCTATAGATGATGTTTGTCAGCTTAGTGATATTATTATTGTCCATGTGGAATTGTTGTTATGGGGCCCCATCTTCTTCCTGGAGACTTCAGTTGATGTTAGACCTGGCCATGATTTCCTGCAGAAAACTGATAAGAGACTCGAACACAAAAACATATTTATGCAGCTAATTGAAGCCTTTTTTCTAGAATTAGTTAGTATTCTATATGACCATTCATATCTTAACAAAGTTTAAAATGTATATATATCTATATATCTATATATGTTAATCTTGTAAATTTTGATATAAAATTTATACTTTAAGAAAAGTTTAAAGAATCAGAATAGAATCAAAGAGATGAGATTAGTAATAGAATAGTCCCTTAATTAATTTGTTTTTTCTCCTGTCCCATAGCAGAAGATGGCTCTTTTCTTCTGGTGTGATACAGGGAGTTTGCATTTTCCTTTTAACAACATACTTGAGTTTTAAAGAAGGAGAAAGCCATTCTCCAACTCCAAAGTCAGCTTTAAATTTTAATTGAACTGGGACTATTAGAAGACCAATAGTGTTAAATTTCCTTAGAGAAGAGCAGAAAGAAACATTTAGGAAGACTTATAAAATTTTATAGATGATATACCAATAGGCCATTTTACTCTGTTTCTTGGGATAGATGATTTGTCCTTTTTCTTCAGTTGGCTCATTTGTCCAGTGTTCTTCAGATTCCTTAGCCTTCATTCTAAAAGACAAAAAACAAAAACCTTTCCCCAAGTTGTATTTTCATTTTGTTTTTTAGTTTTCGCGCTACATAGCCCTGACTGTCCTGGACCTTACTACATAGACTAGGCTGGCCTTGAACTCATAGAGAACTCTGTCTGCCTCTGTCTTTAGAGTGCTGTGATTAGAGGTGTGTGCAACCACACCTGGCTCCCCTCCCCCCCCTTTTTTTTTATTTAAAAAAAAAGGCTTTGTGTGCATGTGTGCGTCTCTCTCTCTCTCTCTCTCTCTCTCTCTCTCTCTCTCTCTCTCTCTCTCTCTCTGTGTGTGTCTGTGTCTCTGTTATGTGCACATGAGCTCAGGTGCTTGCCGAGGCTGGAGGCATCAGATCCCCTGGAGCTAGAGTTACAGGCAGCTGGCTGCCTGACAAGGGTGCAGGACATTGAACTCAAGTCCTCTGCGGTGGTATGCACTCTCTTAACCCAACCCTCCAGCCATCTCTCCTGTCCCTTCTCTTCTCAGTCAGTCTTGTGATCTCCCAGAAGCCTTTGCACGGCAGGAGAGGGTGGGTGGGTTTGTAAGGGATCCTGGATGGGAGATAGGACCCTGCATTTCTCATCCATGGGCCTTACGCTCTTTGCAGCCAGGAAGTGAGCCGGTTGACGTTGGGCTCAAGCAGCCCTGTGCACTGGTCGATTGGGCTTTGATAGCCTGCCCCAGACTGAAATGCCGACCTTTGGTATTCACTCAGGAGCTAAAGAAACTGTGCCTTTCGAGTCTGTCTTCTCAATATGAGCGAACAGGACTGAAAGAAGAAAAGCAAACCAAGAAGGCTCCTTTCTTCTGTGAGAGGCAAGGCCTCTGGAAAGCTACCCAGGGTTGTCTGGTGTTTTCCGTGGCCACAGCCCAGCAGCTCAGGTTACACTGTCCCTTCTGTGTTGGGGGCGGGGACAGCAAGTGACACAGCACAGCCATGTAGCCACACTTACGTAACCATGACTTGGGGGACAGAATTAGGCTCTGAATGAACTGCCCAGGACCGAGGGGATGGTGTTAGAGAACAGGGTCTGACTTCTGTCAGGCTTGGCTTGAAAGTCATCCGCGGGACTCCCAGCACCCCAGAGCCTCAGTTCGTGGCCAGCATCATTTAGAGCAGAATCTTCAGGGTGCAGCTGTCTCCAGGTAAGGGGCTGAGCCCTTCTGCTGCTGTTGCTGACAGCTGTCCGGCTGGGCTCCGGTTAGACTGATTCTGGAAACTTAGTTTTAAAATCCCTCTCCTGGCAGGTAGAATTCACCGCAAATTCTTGAACTGTCCTTGGCTTCCCTCCCACCAGAAGGTTTAGAGGAAAGAGGTGTTTTCAGTTTACAGATGGAAAGAGCAGCCTGCAAAGCGCCTGAGCCGAACTGTAGAGTGTGGTTTGCTCAGGGCAGTCCCCTGCTGCACGAGAGTGCCAGGAACTGCAGCGTGAGTGATCTTATCACTCCGCTGATGGCAGAGTAGTTTTACGTTGGCAAAGACAGAACCCGAATCACTTTCCTTTACTTTTGAATCCTCTCCCTTTCCCTTGTGGGGATTTGAAATCTAAGGCACTGGTGGAACCCCCAAAGGGTGGCATTGGAAATGAATAATAACTGATTAGTAGCTTCAGGTTATATATGGAAATCCTGAGGTCTGATAAGGGTTAGATAAGTTATTTCAGGTTGGTTAGCTGAGACAGAAACCACACATCTCATTTCCAGCTTCTCCCACTCTTCCTGAATCAAGACTTTTTTTTTTTTTTTTTTTTTTTAGGATAAGCCTTAAGGTAGCCCAGGCTGGCCTGGAACTCCTAATCCTCCTCTGTGCTGGGATTACAAGCATGAGCCACCCATGCCCAGCTTGAGGCATGACTTTGTTTTTGTTTTGTTTGTTTTTTTTCTGAGACAGAGCTTCTCTGTATATCCCTGACTGTCCTAGAACTCACTCTGTAGACCAGGCTGGCCTTGAACTCAGAAATCTGCCTGCCTTTGGCTCCCGAGTGCAGGGATTGAAGGTCATGACATTTTAAAAATGGGAGTTTGGGCCAGGCAATGGTACACAGAGAAACCCTGTCTTAAAAACAAACAAACAAACAAAACAAAGAAAAAAATGAGAGCTCAGGCTGGGTTATGGTTTAATTGGTAGAGTGCTTGCCTAGCATGCTCAGAGCCGTGTTTGACCCCCAGCACTGGTGTGGTGGTGCACGCCTGTAATCCTAGCACTCTGAAGGCTAAGGCAGTAGCATGGCTGTGAATTCAAGGAAGGCTAGCCTGGGCTACATAGCAGGGCCCTGTTACAAAAGAAAGGTTATTCTTTTGGGGGACCTGGAGAGATGGCCTGAGGTTAAGGGTACTTACTGCTCTTGCAGAAGACCTGGGTTCAGTTTCCAGCACCCACATGGCAGCTCGTGACCATGTATAACTCTAGTCCCAAGAGATCTGACACCCTCTTCTAACCTCCTTAAGCACCAAACATGCACATGATATACACACATCCGTGCAGACAAAACACCGTATGTAAAAAATAATAAAATGAATCTAAGAAGTTCAAGGGAAAAAAGGCAGTTTTTCCTGCCTCTGCCTCCTGAGTACTGGGGTCAGAGGCATGAGCCATCACCGCCAGGCTTTTTTTTTCCCCTTAATTTGAGCATAAGTTACTTTATTCTTATTTGGGGAACTGTTTTGATGAATTGTAAATTTTTTAAACCTTTTTTATGCAAGTTGCAGAGAACGGGGGGGGGGTTTGATTTTACTAAAATAGATATCTCACATAATAAATCCTTTTAATCATGAAAATTTTCAGACCTAGAAAAGTAGAGTGAATAGTGCCATTGCCTGACATTATCAGTCTTATTGGTCACCAAAACTGCATGGCTTCTTTTCACACATCTTGTTCTTGCTAGTAAAATGCCTTCTTGCTTTTCTGAACATAGAAAACTTTTATTTATAGTTTTGTGCTTTTCAAATCTGTCTTTCCCTTCCAGCCTCCTCTTTTTTTTCTATTTTGTTTTTATCTATCTATCTATCTATCTATCTATCTATCTATCTATCTATCTATCTATCTATCAGACAGGGTCTCACTGTATCCTAGCCTGTCCTTCAACTTGCTGTGTGGCTGAGGTGGAACTTATGGTTTTCCTGACTCCATCCCTTCTCCCCTCAGAGTGCTGGAATCATAGGTGTGTGTTTTCACACCCAGTTTATGTGGTACCTCATGCACAGTAGGCAAACCCTGTGAACTGAGCTACAGCCCCAGTCTCAGAATAGGAGAGTGGAGAGCAGTCATTGAAAGAAGTGGGTCCCATCCCACTGCTCTGGCATCTTCACCAGGTGCTTCCAGGGCTGCTGGGCTCATCTCTCTCAAGCGACCAGGACAGAGTGTGGCCATTACATGTGGTCTAGGCCAGAAACGGCACACTGCTCTCATGCTTCTTTAATTCTGTTGGCTAAAATTCAGTCATGTGGTTGGCCAAAGTGCCAAGGAAGCCGTCTGAGTTCAGGAAGAAGGAGAAAGTAAAATGGGCCTTGTGAATGGACAGGCCAGGTGCTAGCTCACAGCATGCCACTGATCATACTTCATCTTGAGTCCTATCCTGGATAGAAAGAACTAACAGGAGCCAGCAAGATGGCTCAGTGGGCAAAGGCACTCGCCCCCAAGCCTGACTTCAGTCTCTGTGGTGCAGGGCAGGTGAGAAGATGAGAACTGACTCCCACAAATTGTACTCTGACTTCCACTGGTTTGTGTGTGTGTGTGTGTGTGTGTGTGTGTGTGTGTGTGTGTGTGTAACTGAGTCCTTATTGAGAAAAAGAGAGAGAGCGCAAGAGGAAAAAAACCAAAATGAAACTTTAGGTCTGGGGCTTTAGCTCAGCAGTAGTGTTTGTCTGTTATACAAGAGTCCTAGGTTTCCTCCTCTATGCTGCAAGAGTAAAAAAATAATACAATTTGGATGGGGTGTAGTGGCTCATGTCTATAATAATCCCAGGACTCTGGAAGGAGGATGGTGAGTTTGAGGACAACCTAGGTTACAAATTAGAGAGAATAGCAGATGAGACCATTAGAAAAAAAAATCACAAGATAAAGCAAAGAGATATATTTATTATTACCTTTATTCTATGCTGGGTTGTAAGCTCTGAAAGTCAGAAGGGAACGCAGCAAGCAGCTGGCCATTTTGCCCTTTTCCAGTGAGATATGATATTCCAGAGCTACAGCAAGGCTGCAGGAACTTTTGGCATTTTAAAAATGAACTGCTAATGGAGGAGGACGTGTCGGTTTGGGGGGGCAGAGGGGAGGAGTCGGGGGGACCGGGAGAAGAGGCCGGGGAAACTGCGGTTGGGATGTCAAATAAATACATTGGAAAAATGAACTTGTTCCACATTTTCGTCTTTACTCCAAACTGGCTTGGTAAACAGTAAATATTAGGGCTGGTGCCTTCTCAGTGTACCAGAGGCAGGGCAAGGGCAGCAGTTATTTTCAGCTTGTGATTACCTTCCTACTCAGTTTTCAGAGTTCTTCGCCGTAGCCTAATTTTCTAGGACAAAAAAGAAAACAGTATTTGTAGCTGAACCAAAATAACTGTGTGCAGACTGGAAGACTGTGTCCCCGTGTTAGTGGTGTTGAGCTCTTAGGGTGTGTGTGTGTGTGTGTGTGTGTGTGTGTGTGTGTGTGTGTGTGTACACGTACACTCACCTGTGTTGCTCTGCCTCTCAGCAGCAGCAGACGCTCCTGTCTGGTGGGAGCAGGATGTCTTGACAGAGCACATATACTTTGGCATCAGCTCTAGGCTCAGTAATATAGAACCTTCTCTTTTTTTCTTTAAAGGGATAAGGCTAGAGAGGCAGGCAAACATCAGAATTCCCATTTGTGAGGTCACCAGCATGACCTCACAGCCAGAGAGTTCAAAATGTTTCTTAGCTTCTAGGAAGATGTTAGCTGAGGCATGGCCTGATTCCATAGGCACCATGAGGTACCAGTCTGTCCTCTATTAGTTGATTTGGGTTGAATTTTCTATAGTTCTATAGATAAAAGGTAGACACTGATGTCTCTGTTTTTTATATTTATGTATTCAGATTACACAATTTGGAGAATTATATAATGGTAAGAAAGCCATTGTGGCTATCCTTGGCAGGGTAGCTAGCGCAAGTCGAAACCTCAGAAGATGAGCAGCAGTGTGCCTTCACTCTGGGTCCTCAGTGCTCCGTTATGTAATTTGCCATCACATTTCTCTGCAAATAGACATAATATTTTTAGTTCTGTGGAAATATGTCTTTAACATCAGGCGATAACATTTTGGAATGGTTAGATCCAGTTATCAGGAGTATAAATAACTTCTGACCTACAGACTTAAGTTGAGACGCATCACAACCGAGGAGCTGTCAACATTGAGTTTTGTGACTCTTTTCCAGGTGGGAGCTGTACGAGCCAGTGTGAGTTCATGCAGATACCTGGAAGGTTAACAGAGGTTTTCTTAGGTCTCACCTCGGCTGTTCGGGCTGGCCTCTCAAACTTGTGACATTCCTTCACCAGTGCTGGGAATACAGGCCTGCACCTCTTGTTCTTTGAGCAAACGGCAATGTCATGGGGTTGCAGGAACTGTCTGAGTGGCCGAGTGTTTTCCTTTCATGCTCAAGACCCTGGGTTTGGTCACTAGCACTGCAGGGGAAGCATTCATAGAGAACTTTATGTTCCCAGACTCCTGAAGCAAACACTTGATAAATTGTCACCTTCTGTATTTTATTTAGGAGCTGAGTGGAGTGGTGCACATCTTTAATCCCAGCACTCGGGAGGCAGAGGCAGGCGGATCTCTGTGAGTTCCAGGCCAGCCTGATCTATGTAGCAAGTTCCAGGACAGCCAGAGCTATGTAATAGAGAAATGCTGTCTCAAAAAGAAACAAAAACAGGAAGTAAAGTAGGAATTAAGTCTTTTAACCTTCAATGTTTGACTCTAACTGGGGAGATTAAGAGCTTTAATCCAAATCATTATTTTTTTGGTTTTGAGACATGGTTTTATAGTCTTCCGCTGGCTTTGAATTTAATATAGATCCCAGGCTGGCCTTGAACTCATGATCCTCTTGTTTCTATCTCCTAAGTGCTTGCATTATGGGCTTGTGCCACTGTGTCTGGCTTTGCTTGTGTACGCGTGTGTGCGTGCGTGTGTGCGTGCGCGTGTGCGTGCGTGTGTCTGAGTGTTTGAGACAGGGTCTCTCTGTGTAGCTCTGGCTGTTACTTTTGTGTTTTGAGATAGGCTGTGTAACCCAGACTAGACCTAAACTCGTGCAGTCACATCTGGTAACTGTGCTTTTTACAGCACTGTCCTCTGTGTTCCTTGTTTTTCCCAGTCACGTGTCCCTGTTTTCTTAAATGTGCAGATTTTAGGAATGAGGTAACTTATGCACATAGACTTAGAAATTTGAAATTGCTCCTTCCAGCACGTGGGAATCAGATAAGGAGGGTCAGGAGTTTAGTTCCAGCCTTAGTTAGCTACATACCAAGCGCAGGGTTATATGAGACTATTACAAAACCAGGAAGAAAGCAAGCAAGCAAAATTCCTGAAATTGCCAGTTAGTTAGAAGTGAATTTTTACCTGGGGGCAGTATTTAGATATTTTTTTTAAAGGAATATTTAAAAAATATTTATTTTTATGTGCATGAGTGTTTTGCCTGCATGTGTATCTGTGTACCACGTGTGTGCCTTATGCCAGTGGAGGTCAGAAGAGGGCTTTACATGCCCTGGAATTAGAATTACTGATGGTTGTAAACAACCATGTGGGTTCTGGGAAATGAACCCGGGTCCTCTACAAGAACAGCCAGTGTTCTTAACCATAGAGTAGTTTTTTCTTTCTTTCTTTTTTTTTCTTTTTTCTTTTTTTTTTTTTAAGCTTTTAGAATCAGGGTTCTCTGTAGTCATGGCTGACCTGGAACTCACTCTGTAGACCAGCAGGCTGGCCTCGAATTCACGGAGATCCACCTGCCTCTGCCTGGCTCTGTCTCCCGAGTGCTGGGATTAAAGGCGTGCGCCATCACTGCCCGGCTCTTGCAGGTATCTTTATACAGGGAGACTAGAACTGACTTTAGGTTTTGAATTTCTCTTTGCAAGATCTCTGTGGGTGGTCGTTAAGGTGGGTCACATGGTTCCAAGTCTGAGCAGAAGGGAGTCGCCCTCTGGGTGTCTTGAAATGATAGTTTGTGCAGCTAGAACAGTAACACCTTTGTGTGCTTTGCATAAAATGTTGGGTGACACTGATCTCACCTCCAAATTTTGAGAAGTAATAATTACTAGAGTTCCTTAGGTTTTTTTTTTTTTAATTGTTGTTGTTTGTTTATTTTTAAGGTCCAAATAATTGGGCTGGGGATGTAGACAGTACTCCCTAGCATGGTTATAGCCCTTAAAAAAAAGAACCTACTAACTTACCCATTCTTTTCTGCTACAAGAAATATTTTCTTTATCTGCATGTTTTGAATATTCTCACTTCAAATTTTTTATTTATGTGCATAAGCCTACATGAATGTATGTATGCCATGTGCATGCAGGAGCCCAAGGAAGTAAGAAGAAGAAACCCTTGGAACTGGGGTTGCAAACCACTGGGAGCCACTAGGTGGGTCCTGGGAGCCAAACCCAGGTCCTCTGCCCGAGCAGATGAGTGCTCTTAGGTGCTGCCTCATCTCTCCAGTCCCAGTGTTCCTACTTTCACTTTTAGGAGGCAGGTTTTAGGTGATCGCTTGTTAAAAAGAGTACATAGTAAACATAAGACCTATATTTTGCGAAGGTTGTGATATTGAACCGTATTCAATCTTTTTTGTTTGTTTGTTTGTTTTTTTTTTTTTCGAGACAGGGTTTCTCTGTGTAGCTTTGCGCCTTTCCTGGAACTCACTTGGTAGCCCAGGCTGGCCTCGAACTCACAGAGATCCGCCTGCCTCTGCCTCCCGAGTGCTGGGATTAAAGGCGTGCGCCGCCACCACCGCCCGGCCCCGTATTCAATCTTTAAACACTTGTTTCGAACAGAAGACCATTTTTCTGTAATTCCTGTTCAAACAAGGTTTAGAGAGTGTATCTGAGGAAAATGAGGACCTTGAATTCTTTTTTGTTTGTTTGTTTGTTTGTTTGTTTTTGAGTCAGGTTTCTCTGTATCCCTGACTGTCCTGGAACTCAATCTGTAAACCACTTGCCTCGAACTCACAGAGATCCGCCAGGATTAAAGGCATGCGCCGCCACCACTGGCTAGGGAACCGTGAATTCTTGAAACTAGTGATGACTGATCATTGTGGCGCTTGCCAAACGTGGGCACCATTCTCATGGTGGGAAGCAGCCTCTAGACCAGTGGTTCTCAACCTGTGGGTCTTGACCCCTTTGGGGTTGAATGACCCTTTCACAGGGGTCAGCTAAGACCATCGGAAAACACAGATATTTACATTATGATTCATGACAGAAGCAAATTTAACATTATGAAGTAGTAACGAAAATCATCTTATGATTTGGGGTCACCACAACATGAGGAACTGTATTGAAGGGTTGCAGCGTTAGGGAGGTTGAGAATCGCTGTTCTAGGTGGTGTTGTCATCTAGATATTGAACTGTAACAATATATTTGATACAGCGTGTACACAAAGCTGGGGTGTAGCACTGGTAGAGGCTGAGGCAGGAAGATTGCCAGAAATTCCAGGAGGCTTAGGCCATAGCATTCCTTATCTCAGAGCAAACACCAAGGCTGTGGAGATGGCCCAGCAGGTAAAGGTGCTTGCTGCCAGCGTGGCCTGCCTGAGTGAGATCCCTAGGACCAACCCATGTGGTGGGAAGAGTGAGCTGACTCTGGCCAGTAATTCTCTGCCTTCCACACACACTGTGACACACACGTGCCTCTCCCCAGTAAGTACTTCCACACACACACTGTGACACACACGTGCCTCTCCCCAGTAAGTACTTCCACACACACACTGTGACACACACGTGCCTCTCCCCAGTAAGTACTTCCACACAAACACACTGTGACACACATGCGCCTCTCCCCAGTAAATAAATACCATTTTTTTTTTAAAGCAAACAAGGGCCTGGAGAGACAGCTTAGGCAAGAGCATGCACTGCTCTTGTGAGGAGTCCGAGATCGGTTCCCAGCTCATAACTGCCTATAACTCCAGTTCCGTGGGGATCTGATACCGCCGATCTCTGAAGGCACCTACACTCACATTCTCTCACTTAAAAATAATAAAAAGAAGTATTTGGAAACCAAGCAAACAGACAAATCCAAATAAAACAACCCCCCCACTCACATACAAGACAAATGTGGACTAAACCATAATTTCATAGAGGATGAACACTTTCTTGGAATAGAAGAATGTCCTACTTTCTGGAACTGTAACTGTAAGCAAAGCTTAAGAAATATAAAGCACTTTTTTTTTAAACCCAAGGACAGGTCATCTAAGGTTATCTGCTTCTTTGACATAAATATCTTGCTTCTTTGGCCTTGAGTTCTAGATCAGATCCGAGTTAAATTACAAATTTAAGGTATTAATCTAGCTCAAAAATTTCAGGCCTGCCTTTATCTCCCAAGTAATTCTGTTGGGTACCCAGGACAGACAGCCAAACAGTTTTCTTTCTTTTGTCCTTCCTTCCTTCCTTCCTTCCTTCCTTCCTTCCTTCCTTCCTTCCTTCCTTCCTTCCTTCCTTCCTTCCTTCCTCTCTCTCTCTCTCTTTCTTTTGGTTTTTCCAGACAGGGTTTCTCTGTGTAGCTTTGCTCCTTTCCTGGATCTCACTCTGTAGCCCAGGCTGGTCTCAAACTCAGAGATTCGCCTGCCTCTGCCTCCCGAGTGCTAGGATTAAAGATGTGCACCACTT